ATATAAATAAAATATACGAAGGGGATAAATAGAATAAATAGGAATAAAAATAAAAATACAAGTGAATTGCACATTTCAAGTATTGTATATGTATGTGTAAAAAGAATTTGTGTGTGTGTAAAAAACATTTGTGTGTGGACTTAGCCAAAAAATAGGTGTGAAACTCTACACTCAAGTTTTAAGTTACAAGTACAAATTCTGACCCTATTTTTCTTCCTTTCATCTGATTGGCCAATGTCATGTCAATCACAAATTTAACTATCCAATCCGAGAACAGACTGTGGTTATACATAGTTCTGCTATACGTCACACACACAGTTTGCTTAGTTCCACTTTTTCTGTTTGGTTTCCTGTGTTTTATTAATATGCCTATGCAGCTCTGCACTAACTTCCTGTTCTCTGCACAAGACATGCAGTCTCCTAGTACTCTGTGACTTTTGGCACATATTCTAACTCACAAGGGCGATTTTCTACACTGGCCTCTATAAAACAATATAAACAGAAAATAAGGATTAATTATATATATATTGTAACAATATATATTGTCTTGTAACAATCCTTTAACCAAATGCCCTAGTCTAAACTTTTTCACTTGGCCGACAGCACACAATTACATTAAACACAGCACATCAACTTTAAACACACAACACATCAACTTTAACATTCCCCCAACCCTGACAGGAATAAACTTTCATCAAATATTCCCCAGACTTTACTTTTTATTTGTCACAAATTACCCAAAATCACCATGGACATGTCACCAGAAATCTACTTAACAGATTTTCACCACTACTGAGCCAATTTAACGGTCAAGCTCATCAACTCGGCGAACAGATAATTTAGAACTCATCCAATCTGCACAATTTGCTTTTTTGAACAGGCTGTGCCTACCTTTAAATCTTTTTAGACCAGTCTCCTGTCCACCTCATTTCAGATCCGACCTTCGGCCACATTTGTCCTCTCAGCCGCAAAAGAATCGGGGTTCATGGCACCAGTTATCAAAATATATATATATATATATATATATATATATCATCTCCAATTAACCTTTCAGAACACTGCACCGCTCTCTGGAGAGCTATCCAGTTGTAGGTGGTGCTGTTGCCATGCCAAGAAGTAATGCATCCGGTGAGGATGCTCTCAATGGCACAGCGGTAGAAGGTCCTGAGGATGTTGGGGCGCATGCCGAATCTCTTCAGTCTCCTGAGAAAGAAGACGCACTGCTGCACCTTCTTCACTGCTTTGTTCGTGTGAACTGACCATGTGAAATCCTACACCAGATGTGCACCTAGGAAACAGAGGCTGCTCACTCTCTCCACAGGAGCACTGTTGATGGTGATGGGGGTGTGTGTTCTTCTCTGCACCTCTGGAAGTAAATGGTAAATGGACTGGTTCTTATATAGCGCTTTTCTACTCTTCTGAGCACTCAAAGCACTTTACACAACTTGTGCACTCACCCATTCACACCCATTCGCACAAGCACATTTTTCTAGGTGCTTTCTAAGTAATATTCACACGCACTCATACTCTTATGGATGCATCGGAGAGCAATTTGGGGTTAGTATCTTGCCCACGGATATTTGGCATGTAGCCTAGGGGAAACCAGAAATCGAACCACCAACCTTTCGATCAGTAGATGACCTGCTCTACCGCCTGAGCTACAGCCACGGTGGAAAAATGCTTTTCTTGGTTGAATGTTTTCAGAATGTCTGTGGTAAATAAAAATAAACACTGGCTTGCAGTGTCAAAGGTCGGTGCCATTATCCCCTTTATGATTTCAGACTGTGCAATAAATTGCTGGTAGGCTTCTAGTTGGCCAACATTTCTACATGGTTAGGGTTGACTTGGCGTGCTCTTGACAGTGCTGGACATTGTTTTTATGTTTTCATCTCTATGTGGAGGAAATGAGGAGCCAGAGAGACAAAAAAAAAGTAATGGTTTACACACGTTACATTAATTACCAATATCATTGGCTGGTTCCTGTTTAACTGTTTTGAGGGAAAAATGCCTTGCATCCATCATGCCACTCCAAAGTGTCTTTTATAATACTTAACTTATCAAATATAAAATTATTAAATATAAAAGTGCACATGAATAATTGAGGCTTTAAGCACCTAAAAACATGCAGAAAGAAGAAAAATAATCACAAATAATTATAATTGAATCATTTATTCTGTAGAGACAGAAGCATCACTAATAGCAGCCTTACAAAATAATTCCAAGGTTCAACACTGATTCACCGTTTAATTCAATGCATGACTGCAAAGATTTTGTTGTTTTGCCTTCAGGAAAGTCTATTATCGCAAGATCATCAAATCTTTCTGTGATTTGATGATTGTTACAGTGACAAAAATCTAATTTTGCATTCATGACATTTCATTGAAAAAAGCACACAGCGAGGTTTTGGAATGTCCTCAAGAGTAATGATGGTTTTATTCCAGCATATTCAGACGTCACATGTATAGCTGCCAGGCAAAAATCTGCTTTTCTGAAGCCATCTTTAAAAACTAGAGCATAAATATAAATGTTATTTACAAAGACTGACTAAAAACTGCTCCCCTAACACAGCCTAAAGAACCAGACTCTGTTCACTGTTAAACACCAAATTTTCTTATATCGCTAAGCGATTGTGCATCAAAATACTGAGTAGCTGCCACAAAAAATACATGAAATTAAAAAATAAATACAATGATTTGTTTTACTTCAGTTGGCACTGTGGAAACTGTGACAAGTACGGTGGCCTGAGAGTGACACTACAACTGAAGGGCAAAAACAAAGAACAGACAAAAGACAACACACTGTGTTGTCATTCAAATGGTGAAAATACTGTTTTACATTTATTTTGATGTAGGTCAGCTGCTGTGGTCTTCACTCTGAGGCTACCACTGACATGTCTCATACTGTAAATACGAGGGGGGAGCATCATTCCTTCTATATGATTGTGTATCTACATTCTATCTACAACCTTTTTACAGCTCACACAAGAAATACAAAAAACAAAAACAAAAAAATCACAGACACATCAAAATGAAAAGTGCTAACTGAGAATGACAGGATGAGTGAAACAGAATAACTCATTCTGGTGAAAGAAAGCTTTGTACAATGACTTCAATGTAAAGTTTCACAGCTTGTGTTTGTTTGATTTCTTCCTGATGTGTGCACTTTTATTCCATATTCTTGACACTCTGTATGTTTAGTTGAACTCTAGGTCTAGATCCACCTATAACAACCAAACATATTTGGTCCTAGAAGTTATCAGCATAAATGATGCACAGTTAAATATCAGTCATTCAGGACACAAGCATATCACTACATGTTCACTATATGTTGTACTGTGTATGTGACAAATAAAATTTGTATTTGTTTATCTCATTGACCAATCATTTCTATCATAGTTTTCCTAAAACATGATGACAACTAAATAAAAAAGAATGCTCGAGGAGAAAAACTATGACAAAGTGTATTGAATATATACTGGGCAGAAAGGAGGCGATCCAATTAGAAATAATCTCTCTCTTTTTCGGTCAGGTTAGTTGTGCGTATTTCATCTGCCGCTGATTAACAGGGTAAGTTGGAGGGAAGCTCCCTGTTTGTCATGAAAACAAAACAAAATGTCAACACTTGAGTAGAAGAGAAGATGAGACATAGACATAAAGTGGATATTGAGGAAAATAAGATGCTTTGTAACTGTTTGGAGCAAATCTTACTGGTAAAATACAACATACTTTGACACTTTATATTTAAATGAAGTCACTCAACTTCAGGATTAGCCTACTGTACTCTTATGATACTTAGTCGACTAAAACTACACTAAAATTAAAAGAGGTTAGAAGCTTAAAATACATCTACAACTAAATGGTTTTTTAGTTAAAAGACTGAAACTCAAAATTAGCTGTCAAAATGTTACTGAGTGAGTTGACTGAATTCTTACAGGAATTTTAAGTGTCTGCGAACAATTATTAAATTTAGAATATGATGAGAAACCTATACAGAAATCAAATAGAAAATCATCAAGTAAATGGTGATGTTTTAAATCAGGCCTGTAGGGTTTTAGATAACACCCTGGGTCAGCACACCTGAATCAAACGATTAGTTCATTACCAGGCCTCTGGAGAACTTCAAGACATGTTGATTTTAGCCATTTAAATCAGCGGTGTTGGATCAAGGACATCTAAAACCTGCAGGATACCGGCTCTTGAGGCCTGGAGTTCTGTTTTAAATGAACAGTGTATCTCCTAAGACTCATTCTATGATTTGCTCTTAATAGTGGCCACATTCACATTTACACATGGAACTGAATTAAAGAGGCTTCAGGTTTAGTAACAGAACCATGAGAAGAGGCCAGCATTATGAGTAAATCATGATTTAAGAAAAACACTTAACAGCTGAATGCAGAGCTCCAGACTTCTCATTTATTTC